TGAGTTCTTGCTTGAAAAAAAATATTTTAAGCAACGGACAGCATGGATTCATGAAAGACAGAAGTTGTCAAACAAATCTGATTTCTTTTTATGAGGCAGTGAGCAAAACCTTTGACAGAGAGGTGGCGGTGGATGTGGTATACTTGGATTTTGCAAAAGCGTTTGACACAGTTCCCCACACACGGCTAATGTGTAAGGTAAAGTCTACGGGCTTGGGAAAATCTGTATGTAAATGGGAGAAAAATGGCTAAAAGATCGTATTCAAAGAGTAGTGGTTAATGATGCATACTCTGAATAGTCTAGGGTCGTCAGTGGTGCACCCCAAAGTTCAGTGTTGGGACCCTTACTTTTTAATATATTTATAAACGATATAGGGTCTGGGATTATAAATACCATTTCAGTCTTTACAGATGACACCAAGCTGTGCAGTGGAATAACGTCCTTACAGGATGTCTTCAACTTACAAGCCGTCCTCAATGCACTGTTTAATTGGGCACCTAGGTGGCAAAGTAGGTTTAATGTTGGTAAATGTAAGGGGGCGAAGAATATGCACGCATCATACATACTAGGGGGAGTACAACTGAGGGGAATCAATGGTGGAGAAGGATCTGGGAGTTTTGGTAGATCACAAGCTTAATAATGGCAATAATAATGGCTGCAGTTGCTAAAGCGAGCAAAATCCTCTCTTGTATTATAAGAGGTATAGACTCCAGAGAGAGATATCATTTTACCCCTGTACAAATCATTAGTAAGACCTCATCTGGAATATGCAGTTCAATTTTGGGCAACAATTTACAAAAAGACTTTCTCCATGGGGAACTGGAGAAAGTACAGAGAAGGGCAACCAAACTGATAAGAGGCATGGAGGAGCTCAGCTATGAGGAAAGATTAGAGGAACTGAATTTATTCTCTCTTGAGAAGAGGAGATTAAGGGGGGATATGATCAACATGTATAAATACATCAGTGGTTCATATTGTGAACTCTGTGTAGAGTTATTCACCCTGAGGTATTCACAGACAAGGGGGCACTCTTTACGCCTGGAGGAAAAGAGATTTAATCTGCAAATACGGAAAGGTTCCTTCACAGTAAAAAAAGGGGGAATAGACTCCCACAAGGGTTGGTTCTGGGCAGCTCAGTGGATTGCTTTAAAAAAGGCCTGGATTCTTTCCTAGATACACATCAAATAACTGGATACTAACATTTATAGGTAAAGTTGATCCAGAGAATATCCGATTGCCTCTCGGGGGATCAGGAAGGTATTTTTTTCCCTGCAGGAGCAAGTTGGATCATGCTTTGCTGTTGTTTTTCTTTTGCCTTCCTCTGGATCAACTGTGGGTTGAATTGGGAGGACTTTATGACAATATGTAAAAAACAATTTGTGAAAAAATACCTTGGACTGTCTACTTTGCAAAAAGGGGTCATTTGGGGAATACCTGTTTGGGGCACTGTTAGGCAGCACTGATAGGCAGCACTGATGGACACTGATAGGCGGCACTGACTGGTACTGATAGGTGGCACTGAAAGGGAGCTCAGATGGGCACTGATATGTGGCATTGATGTGCACTGGTATGTGGCATTGATGTGGCACTGATGAGCACTGACAGGTGACATTGATAGACATTAACAGGTGGCACTGCTGGGGCTACACTGATTATCAGGGCACACTGATCATCAGTGCCCTGATGATCAGTGTACATGTCCCCTCTGAGTAATGCCGATTACTGGATGAGCGTGACAGCTCGTGAGGAGAGAAATGCCGATAACCGCATGCGATCAGCTGTGATTGGACACAGCTGATCACATGACAGAGCCGACATCTTCGGCTCTTTCCGTTGAACGGTGATCTGCTGTGTCCCAGGGACACAGCGCACCGCCGATCACCGTGCCCACGCTCAGTTAAGAGTGGGAGGACGTCCTCCCAGAACGAGAGAACCGCCTTGCGCCGGTCATTTCCTTACGTGGCGGGCGGGAGGCAGTTAAGGACCCATGGGTGTATGCCGTCCTGTCCAGGTGATTTATTCACCTTTATTCTGTCTAAATATTTCCAGACCATATCAATTTTGAGCCATTGTGGATCATTTGGGGCTGTGTCAATATCATCCCCATTATGGACATGAGCTCCCCCATTCTCCTTTGCATACACAGCTGCAGAAACTGAAGAAGTTATTTAAAAAATTTGCTTTTTCTTTGTCCCCAGTTACCCATTGTAGGTTATTATGTTAAAGGCCTACATGCTCAATCCTGACCTTTTACTATTAATATATTTCAAGGATTTTTGGGGGTTTGTCCTGCTATCTTTTTCAATCTGTCGTTCATTTTCAATTTTTGCAGGACTTGATTTCCTTTTTACATATTGTTGTATTCTTTGTAATATTTAAACAATCATAGTGTTCCTTCATTTTTATATTTTATAAAAGCTCTTATTCTTATTATTTATAGCTTTTTTAACTTTGGCTGTAAGCCACATAGGTTTTATTTATAGCCTTTTAAACTTGTTGCCTAGGGGAATATATTTTGCAGTGTGTTCACATACAGTCTTTTTGATGAACTCCCATTTCTGTTCTGTGTTCATCGATGCCAATACTCCCTCCCAGTCTAAGTCTTGGACAGCAGTATTCAGCCTTGGAAAATTTGCTCTCTTAAAAATTTGTGTTTTTATTTTTCCCATATGTGCTTGTTGTTTACAGGTAACAATAAATGAAATCATGTTATGGTCACTGCTACCCAGATGTTCTTTTATATAAACATTAGTAATACGCTCTGCATGGTTTGAGATTACCAGGGCCAGCAGAGCATCACTCCTAGTTGGGGCCTCTATGAACTGTACCATAAAATTGTCTTGTAACAGGTTTATTAATTTTTGCCCTTTAACTGTTCCTGCAGTGCCATTGCTCAATTTCCAAGTAGTTAAAATCCCCTGATATTATCACTGTCCAAGCCCTTGCAGCCCTTTCTATCTGTGCAAGGAGTCTCCACCTCCTCATTAACAATGGGTGGCCTATAACCAACTCCAATTATTACCTTTGTAGTATGCACATCCATGTGCAGTTCCACCCATAATGCTTCAGCCTCATCATACTCTCCATCAACTAGGTCCTCTTTCGCACTCACTTTGAGATCACTTCTCACATACAGACAGACACCACCACCTTTCCTTTTTACTCTGTCTCTCCAAAAGAGAGCATAGCCAGGAATATTAATAGCCCAGTCATGTGCAGAATGAAGCCAAGATTCATCAATACAAATTAAATCATAGTTCTCTTCATGCACCATAGGCATTAAGTTTACTTCATGAGTCCACAGGCATGTTACATGCACATCGACCTATAAATTCCATGGTGTCTTGGGTAACCTAGTGATTCATTTGTATTGTCCCTGGGATGCTCCCTCACCCTATCTTTCCCCTTTCTTGTCTTCTCTCTTTCTTCTTCCATCTTTTGATCTGATGATCTGATGAATTTACATTGATTGTTATGTGATCTAGCACGGCGGTTATTGTCCCTCAGACCGGATGTGAGCTCTGTGGTGATCTTCTTAGTGTAATGCATGTAACACTTGGAAACAGAATACCTGGAGAACCCATGTGTAGCATTGCTTTGTCTTATTTTGTTACTTTAGCTATTATTATGGTCTTAATAGCTGGATCTGTATAATAACCTTTATCTTTTTGTATGGTCTTTTATACAGTATATTCAGTAAAAAACATTGAAAGTAAAAAGGCTGTTAGTCAACAAATATAACCCCTCCTACTCCTATCATCGTTCAGTTGTGTAGAAAAGCAGTACTAGATTACAAATACACAGCAGTTGGATCTATTTTTCTAATTGAACTCCAAAAAACAGATTTTATGGTAAATACAAAAATCTTGTTTTCTTTCTCATTCATTAAGGGATAAAGGATTTTGTTATTCTGAGACATGTGGAATGTCCAAAAGCAGACCAACTGAGGAGAGGACAACAGTAACAAAAATAGCTAATAAAAATAGTTCAACTTTTTCTCAATGGAAAAAGTGAAAAGATGCCCCCAAAACCCTATTAAAAACTGAAGCATGATGGTAGTGGATGGGTTTATACCTGACTGGCCAATGGCTTTTTTGTTTGCCGGTCTCCAAACTCCTCCTGAAGGCTGCAGTGTAACCGATTTGACTCAGAATAGTGAATCCTGTGTCCATTAAGAGCTCAGAAATACATTTAATATTTTTATATATATTTTCCAATTCACAAAAAGAACATTGGGGAACTGGAGAAAGTGCAGTGAAGGGAAACCAAACTGACAAGAGGAATGGAGGAGCTCAGCGTTTGAGGAAAGATTAGAGGAACTGAATTTATTCTCAGGAAGGATATTATCAAAATGTATAAATATATCAGTGGTTCATATAGTGAACAAGGTGTAGAGTTATTCACCTTTAGGTCATCACAGAGGACAAGGGGGCATTCTTTATGTCTGGAGGAAAAGAGATTTGTTCTCCAAATATGGAAAGGTTTTTTCACAGTAAGGGCTGTGAGAATGTGGAATAGACTCCTCAAGAGTTGGTTCTGGCCAGCTCAGTGGATTGCTTTAAAAAAGGCAATCCACTGGATACTAACATTTATAGGTAAAGTTGATCCAGGGAATATCCGATTGCCTCTCAGGGATCAGGATGGAATTTTCTCTCCTGCAGGAACAAATTAGATCATGCTTTGCTGGATTTTTTGCCTTCCTATGGATCAATTGTGGGTATAGGATCATAACTTTTTTTTTTTATGGTTGAACTAGATGGACTTTTGTCTTTTTTTTCAGCCAGACTACCTATGTAACTATGTAAAGGAATACAAAGCTGCATTACATGCTGTTTTTTTTATAAATGCCTGAAGTTCAGCTTTATGTTTTTAAATAATGCAGCCAAAAACATCTCTACACATCCATGTCTACTTACATTAGCAACCAATCTGTTTAGAATCAACAATTGATTTCATATTACTTTGTGAAATGAAGCAATATACAGCACTGGAAAGTTCACCTTGTGTACCAAAATTACTACTTCGTTGTTGGTTTAAATCCACACCAGCTTTTGCTAACTGAGAAGCAACTGCCACTCTATTATGTAAAGCAGCATGGTGTAAAATAGAATAGCCGGCATCATCAAGAATATTCAGCCCAGAAATAGGAGTTTTACGGCAAAAGGTATAAAAGATGGCAGTTAGTCCTCTCTCTGCAGCAGCTTTTAGTCCAAAAGATATGTTCTAAAAGAAGAAAATACCAATTCAGATTTATCACAGCATTATTTAATAACTGAAATTATTCTCTTGCTTATTTATTCTATTAATGTACAAAAAATATATCACTGTGTATAGCAGTGGTGGTCAACTCCCCTGTCATAGTGTCAACTCTCCTGTCATAGTGGGACTCAAGGGCGGCCTGACAAACAAAAGGCCCCACATAATATACAGCATATATAATGCTACATAAACCTTAGAAATTGCTGACACACACAACAGGGGATGGTTGAAGAACACAGGCATGATACAAATGCTGTAGGAACTGTTGGTAACTTGCTTCAGAAGACAGTCATAGACTGGGAGCAAATTACATGAGTCTGCTTGTAGGCAGGTTGCCTACTGTAGTTAGCCATTACTCTTACCTAGCAAAGGGAAGGATGGGTTAATAATTATTGACACCGTTCCTAGGTGAATTCCTCAGGCTTTTTGGGTCCGGCTCCCTGGCCCTATGTGATGATACCTGTCTGGAACCCAGGGCTCTGGGTTCTCACCGTCAGCAGCCCTAGCCTGGCTGGCCAAAGTCTCTCTACTGAACTCTGCAACTATCTGTAGAAGGGGGAATTTCTGGGACTTGCAGTCTGCCCAAAAGAAACCAGCATCTTGGGATCCGCCACAATGGACTTTGCCATTGAAGGACTCTTCATGTGCAGGTATGCTTGGGCAGTTGGGAAAAAGTCTTGTTGCCTGTTTTGCTGGCATGCTGAGTTTTATTAGTAAAACCTTTGAATCGTTTCAAAGCCTGGTCTGAAATTATTGATAGGAGTGTAAGAAAGTAACCAGAACTTTACACATAGTCTGCAGCTTGGGTCAATAAAGCACACTGAGTATGAAGACAGCTCTGCAAGAGTACAACAAGTGGTTGCTAGGTGTAACTGAAGTCTAGTAACCAGTACAAGCAGCCTGTCATGAAGCGTGATACCTGTGTCAGGTGAGGCATACTCTGATAACAAGGGGGGTTGCCTCTGGGATTCCCCTCCCTTAGCAGTCTGTCTCCCATATCAATGGGAGTAGATCAGCGTTACAGAGGCCCACGACCTGACCGCCAGGTACAGGAGAGTGAGAAGAAAAAGTGTACGCATGAGGTCCTTGCTATGCATGTGGCAGGACCCCATTTTATCACTGGGAGTGAGGTGACAGAGATATGCTGGATGGGAGGAGTGGGCATAGGCTCAACGTGTCCCTCCAAAATGAAAATAGTTACAGTTAAGGTGTGCATTGACACTGTACCAGAAATGGTAACTGGAGGTTAGTTTGTTCATTCAGTGTACATGGTGTATGGCCCATCTCTAAATTAGAAGACCGCCGTAAGATTGAATTCCCCACTTTGTCCAGGGGGATTCATGAATACAACACAGTAAAGGTACCCCATATGCAAGGTGAGTGGCCCCACCCACACAGTGCCTAGTGTGGCCCAGAAGAACCTAATAACCCCCTCCTTGCACCCCTCTACATGCTCAAGATCATACAGTACTCAGCATAAATGAGCACGCCCTTTTCAAAACTAAGATTTTAATCAATATCTCAATGAACAAAAGAACAATTTCCAAAATTTTTACAAAACTTAGTTTTATAGAACATTTGTTTAGCTCATTACATGAAAGTATGGTTAATAATATAAATTAGATTAAAAAGCTTTGGTTTTACTCTAATTAGTTGATTTGAAAATGAATACAATCCACAACAAAAACTACTACATTTAGTATTTTGTTTGACCTAGGCATGGAATGAACAAGTTGGCAACATATTGCAACATCTATCTTTTTCCATTCTTCAAGAATGACCTCTTTTACAGCCTGGATGCTGGATGGAAAGTGATGCTCAACTTATCTCTTCAGAATTCCCCATAGGTGTTCGATTGGGTTAAGATCAGGAGACATACTTGGCCACTGAATCACTTTCAGCTTGTTTTTCTTCAGAAATGCAACAGTGGTCTTAAATGTGTGTTTCGGATCATTGTCATGTTGGAAAAGTGCACGACGACCAAGGGCATGGAGTGATGGTTGCATCTTCTCTTTCAATATGGAGCAGTACATGATACCATCAATAAAATGACACCAGCAGCACTGATGCAGCCCCACAGAAGGACACTGACACCACCATGTTTCACTGTAGGCACCATGCGTTTTTCTTTGTACTCCTCACCTTTGCGACGCCATACAGCTTTGTAGCCATCAGTTCCAAAAACATTTTTTTCGTCTCATCACTGCAGAGTACAGAGTCCTAGTAGTGTTCTTCTTTTTCAGCATGGGCCCTGGCAAATTCAAGGTGGCTTTTATGTGCATGGGCTTTAGGAGAGGGTTCCTTCGTGGACGACACCCATGCATGCCATTCCTCTGCAATGTACCCCGCATTGTGTCACAGGAAACAATCACCCGAGTTTGGCTTTCTACCTCTACAGCTAACTGCAGTGAATTTGTGTGGTGATTTCATTCAACCCTTCTCATCAGAAGATTTTGTTGTCTAACATTTAGCTTTGCTCTTAAGACTTTTATTGGGGTGTATTCACTTTTGCAACATGGTCTTAAAATAATTTGTTAGGAAAAATACTTTTTTTGTGTGTGCAAATTAACAAATCTTGTTTACAATCAATGGCCTGCATTTGTGGGAGTATTTTGTAGTATAGTGTTCCATACAAAATGTAGATTCTGAAAGGAAAGTAAAGGTTTTCTGATAAACCTTTTGGGTGTACTCATTTATGCTGAGCACTGTAGCTATTACAGGGCATTAGAAAAACACAGACAACCATCTGCAAAGATCCCAAGGGCTGCATTCACAAACAAATCAGAATAATAACCCCATTTTCTTAGCTCACATTGATAAGCAGCAAAACACAGGATTATTTTTCTGGTTATGCTTCAATTACTAGTACACTTCTATTTACAAATCATGTATATCTGACAATACAATAGTTACCAAAAATATTGTCTGTTAAAAAATAAGGGATTAAGGTCAACACTTCTTAAAGTAGATATGGTCAAATAACAGCATGGGTGATCTATTGTTTTCCTTAACTTTTATAGTGCTTCATGGTCCATTTGTTTTTATCCAGTACTGAAATAAAAAGTACTGTTAGACTTAAAGTGAATGTGATAGAAATGAATACAAATTAAGCAGATGGCAACAGCAATAATTTATATGAAGTTTTGAGTAGAATTCTTCTGTAAAGTGCATGTAAAGTGCATTTTGTTTTAGTTTTGGATAATGAGGCAGGGCAGACTCCATGTCAACCTTTTATTGCTGTCTTTTTCCCTGCTGGGAAAATACATCCCTGTATTTGACCACTGTCATCAATACTAACAGTGAGTGGAAAATCCAATAGTGACACCTGCCCAGGTGACAATGGTCTAAGATGGAAATTCTTCACACTTTGGGGTTGCCTATACACATGCTGTAGGTTTTCTGAAAATCATGCATATACCAAAACTGCATGTAACATACCTTGCACTTTATTGCCTTTTTATAGCCAAACCTTTTCTTCAGTTGCTCATGGAGATGAATGTCTGTTAGTGGGAGCCTTTTGGGCCTCAGCGAGCTTATTATTCCATTAACTGCTCCCCACCATTGCTTTCTTAGCATTGTTTGATAAAAGTCTTCAAGCTGGATTGCAATTACATAGTAACTATAAAAAAGACACAGCAGAAACATGAAAAACAAGGTGTGATGCCTTCACACATACTCTAACCCTTAGATGTAATATCCTTTAAGGGGAATCCCTCCATTTAAGCCATAATTGTGTCCTAGGGTTGCCCCTCCCTCTCACAGTCTGAGAGCTGCTACATACAAAAGGCTGCACTGAAAGCAGATTTAAACTCTGCTGTAATTTATTAATAAATGGACCCCCAGGAGCTTTATGTTATAATGTCCTAGTATGCACTGCATACTACCACAATATGGTATACTTATGCCTGGTACACATGATAAGAAAATCAGACAAAAAGAAAATGCAATTGGAACAATCATCGGATATTCTATTCGTTGGTCCACAGGTTCCAAGAGCCGATCACGACAGTTCATGCAAAAATATCCAAAGGGATACACAAAAAACTTTTTCTCATAAGATAACAGAATGAACGAGTTTTGTGTAGTCAGTTTAAAATTTGTACGAAGCAAATCAAGTGACCAAGACCACGCATGCTCAGACACAAAAGAGTACATTACAATACAATACAATACATTTTATTACTTCTGAAGTTGTATTCTGTCTTAATAGAATTTTCGTAACTTTCGTAACCTATTCGTTTTCGATATGAGAGTAGCATGCAAAAAAAAACCCCACAAAAATGGTCGATCATTTGTCCGATATTCTCATAGTGTGTATGAGGCATTACCTGATAAGCGATGGCCTCCAATTATGTGCTGTCAGCATTCCCACTGGCCATGGGTGCTTCCATCTTCTCATAGTATACCTTCCAGGTTTGCTCTGTTGGATCGCTGGAATGCCCTGGCAATGATGAATTCACTCACCTTGCATGCGAGGTATAGTGATATCTGATACTTACAGTAAGCTGGCCATATACTAGTAGATTTTCAAACAAAAGTTTGTAAGAAAATTAATAAAAACATTCCTATGAAAACTCTCAGTGGTAGAAAATGAACGTCACTTTGACCAACTAATGATTTGAAAATCCAGCAAATGTCCTTAAAATAAATTTTTTTTTATACTAGTGTATGGCCAGCTTTAGTACTAACAATATGTGGTTTAACCAGTTGCCACTCGGCCAATAGCAAAATGATGGCTGAGCGGGACTCACGTCGATCTGGGTGGGCGTCAGATGAGGTCCTCCCGGATCGCGTCACGCTGTGACAAGATCTTTCACTGGCTGTGTCCCTCAGATAGTGCCGATGACAGATCTGTGTACCGGCCTGTTGCCAGTATCATGTGACCAATCACAGCAGATCACATGACAATTGTAAACAATGGATGGCTTCCTTTCATG